GGGGCGCCGAGGGCGGCATCACCCGCCTCTACCTGGCGCAGGGTGCTGTTGAGGCGGCCGCCCCCCGGCCCCGCGGCGACGGCTCGCCCTGGCTGCCGCCCGCCGACCTCTCGGCGCTGTCGCTGGAGGAGGTGTCGCGCTGCCTGCGCTTCATCGGCCTCTCCGAGGACGTGGTGAGCTTCTTCGCGCGCGAGCGCATCGACGGCAGCATCTTCGTGCAGCTCAGCGAGGAGATCCTGGCCGACGACTTCCGCCTCACCAAGCTGCAGGTGAAGAAGATCATGCAGTTCATCAAGGGCTGGCGGCCCAAGATGTAGGCGCGCGCCGGGGCGGCCGGCGCTGCCGCACGTGTGGTCCCACCACCGGTGCCTGCCTGGACCCCTGGGCCAGGGCATCCACCCTGCCCCGAGGCCGAGACACGGAGGTTCCCAACCCCTTGGACTGCCCCATCCCTCCCCACCACAGCGCGTCGGTGCCTCCTCCAAGGGGCTCCGCTCGCCCTTGGCCGCGTCCTCCACGGCCGCTCGCTCCATCCTCGCGGGGAGCTGGGGCCTTCTGCCCCGTCCCCTTTTCTGTTTTAACACTGGACGGTCATTTTGGCCCCGGAGGGCTGGAAAATACTGAAGTTTGCTTTGACTGATTTAACTTAATCCTTGTGGATTAGCGTAATAAAGATACGGGAGAAAACGAGGCGCTGGAGAGGCCCCTTCCTTGGGCCGCAGGGCGGAGAGGGCCCCTCGGAAYGTCATCCATGGGGCAGGGGAGGGATCGTCCAAGGCCACGGGGCCAGCAAGGACAAGCAGGAGGGCAGCCTGGAGCCCCCAGGGCTCGGGATGAGGAGCTCAGCCCCATCCCTCCCCAGGGACGGCCAGGGCMGACTCAAACACTGCCCTCCAGCCCTGCAAGGAGGCCGCTGCCTCCCGCAGGGCAGAGGCTGCGTTTAGAGCTCGGGTAGTGCTGATATAGGAGCACAAGCCCCCACCAAGAGCAGCAGCGCCCACGTCCCTGCCCTTCTAGGGCTACCGACAAAGGCCRGAGGGCAAATGCAGCAAGCGGCGGCCGCAGGCAGCGCGCGGAGGCCGGGGGGAGGCCGGGGGGAGGCYGCKCTGCCATCAGTGACAGGTGCGCGGAGCTTTAAAGCCTTTTAGCTTAAACTGAGCTCTCCCCGAGGGGGACCCTTCTGGCCTCGGGCCGCTTGATTTGCAATTAGCGGCGGGTCCATCTGCCGCGCTCACCCCGGGGGCAGCGCTCGGGGCCAGACAAAGGCGYCGGCGGCTCCGAGCGCTGGCGGCGGGGACGAGCGGGGCTTTGTTCTGCGCCGCAGCCCGGCCCTGTCCCCCCGCTCCGGCGCCTGCAGAGCTGCTGTGTGGGCACCAACGGTCCCTGACACCGCAGCAGCGCCCCGCTGCCGAGGGGTTCCCGTCCTCAGAGCCTGGGGCGCACAGGGAGCCGGGAGGAGAGGCAGGCACGGAGTCCGAGCACAGGAGAGGAAGGTTTATTGTTGCGGAGGGCTTATGGAAAGCAAGGCCTCGGAGGCAGCCTGGCAGGGACGGGGCCGCTGCCTGGCGTGGCGGGCGCTCKGCCGCGTGCAACACAAGGGCGAACGCAGAAGAATTTCCCTCTTCCACCGCGGGAAGGGACGGAAGGGCCCCAGGCCCAGGAGCTGTAAGGCACTTGAAAGGACTGCAAGGCCAAGGCACTGCAGCGCTGGCCTCCTTCCTCCCCCAGGTGCGTTGCAGGTGAGCCCACAGCGAGCGCGGGGCCCGGGCGCCCAGCTGGGGCTCTTGGTGCATGGTGGGCACGGGGCCGGGCCGCTCTCAGGGGTGGAATTTCTTGCCCGGGTCGTTGGCATAGTCCACGAGCAGCTGGCACGGCGTGAACTGGCTGCCGTAGACGGCCTCGTACTTGCGCATCTTGTCCACCACCTGCCTGGCGCCGAACGAGTCTGTGAACCTGAAGGGACCTGCCAGGGACAGAGGGATGAAATGGGGATAGGACCGCGGCAAAGCACGGAGAGCCACCAAGGGGCGCGGAAGGGTGAAAACACTGGATTCAGCTAATCCAGCCTAAGAAAGGAGGGAGCCCAACCCATGGGGGAGCAGCAGAGGAACCCTGCTCGCCACTACAGTGACAASGCTGGGGACAGTGGCACTGTCTGCATGAGCCTGGTCCTGGTGGGAGCCCAGGGGCTCAGCACTCTGCTCTTCCCAAGCGCGATCCCAGCTCCAAGAGAAGCAGGGAGCAGCTGCCACCTTTGTACCCCACGTGAGCCAAAGCAGCTGCTTTGGCTTGGTCCTAAACACCCATCCCAAACGTGGCAGCAGAGCCACGAGGACACCCCGAGGCCAGGGGMCAGGCTGGAGGTGACACAAGCCTGGTGGACACAAGGTAGGAGACCCACTAGGSCACAGAGTAGCCAGGATTGGTCTCTTTGGGCTTGCCTAGAAAAGGCAAATGTCTCATCAGCCAGACCGCAGATGAGTCCAAGGTGACTCCTGCGAGRCTGCCAAGCTGGACCAACACCTCTGGCTCAGGCTTTACAGCAGAAAAGGACTCTCAGGTTGGCCACRAGTTGCAATTCAAACCTGGCCTAAAAGGCTGCTTAGATCTGGTGGCTGGAGCGTGCTAGGCACGAGCACGACCCTGCTGATGCCACTTACCTCCCAGGTACGGCGGGAAGCCCAGGCCAAACACTGCCCCCATATCTCCCTCCACGGGGTTGCTGAGGATGCCTTCCTGCAGGCACAGGACTGCCTCGTTCACAAACCTCGTCACGAAGCGCAGCTGGATGTCCTCGTCGGTGCAGCTGGAAGGAAACAGCCGTTAGGACTCCAAAGGAAACAAAGCATGGGAAGGGAGGGACATGCAAACGCAGCAGGGAAGGACAGTGCCAAGCATGGGGGAGGACAGAGGAGGAGGAATCGCTGCTCAGTGCGTCTGTYCCTAGAGCCACGAGCTACAAACTAGTCAGTTCTGTGTTGCAGCCCAGGACAGGCGAGTGAAGCTGCAAGGACTCAATCAAGCCACATGGGAACTGCTCCAAAAGACACTTCTTTTGGAGCCAGGCTGTCCAACGACACCAGGAAGGTCAGGAACGTGGAGGGAGAGGCAGGGGCTGCACAAACCCATCTGCTCCGACAAACCCACCTCCTCCCACCACAGGGAAGCTGTCTGCAGAGGTACTGAGCGAACGCTGCTACGCTCAGGCATATCCACGTCCCTGCTAGCACGGGCTCTCCTGATCTAAGAGTCAACCCCAGTTTACACCAGCTGGGACCAGCCAAATGCCATCTATACTGACTTGGTGCTTACTATGTTCTCACATGGGCCTCCTGCTGCTGCCCAGAGCCCGGAGGAGCAGCAGCAGGGGTAGGAGCCAGCCCGCAGTGTGGCTCGCAAGACGGGGCTACTTACACTTCAGGCTTGCCTTGCACCTTGAACCGCTTCAAGAGCTCTTCCACGGTCGAATTCACGCTCCTGTTCTTCACCCCCTCCTGGTAAATATAAAAGCCTTTTCCTGCCTTGCGGCCTGCCGGGGAAAAAGGACAGGCGTTTAAGGACAGACGCTTACATCCTGCTCCGTGTCTCGCCTGCCTGGACTGCCTTTGCCTCCGAGCCTTTCTTGCACTTCTGTTAGCACAGGCAGCTCCCTCCCAGCACAGGCAGCTCCTCTGCATTTCAAAGCAAAGCTGTTTGCTGCCTCACCAAGGACACGGCGGGAGGGAGACCGTCCAAGAGGCTGGTGCAGGGCCGGCCCACACGCCTTGGCTAGGGGTGCACAACTGCCAAAGAGCCGTCACCGCCTCCGCGCCACAGCAGCAAAAGGCACAGTCCTTTCTCGTGCTGGAGAGGGAAGGTGACAGGACCTCCCGAGCAACCCTCGCTGCCCGGTTCATGCAAAGTCTGCTTTGAGGGCAAATCAGAGCGTGCAGCTGCTAAACCTCAGCGTGGAGCTTGCTTCCCTCCAGCCCCTTTCCCGTTCCCGGCCCGCAGTGCAGGTTCAAATGCCGCGGTTGAAACCAGCCGCGTGTCCGTGTCTCACCTAGGAAGCCCTTTTCCAACATGGCATTTAACAACTCGACGCCGCCTCCTCCGAACCGCTCGCCAAAGGCCTTGCCAAGGTCCTCGGCCACGTGTGCGGCCACATCCACACCCACTTCATCCATGAGCGTGACGGCACCCACCGGGAAGCCGAAGGCCGTGGAGATGGCGTCCAATTTCTTTGGATCGGTGCCCTCCTGCAGAAACAGGAGCGGGAGCAGTAAGATCCGCCTGGATGAGGGGACTCCCCTATCCAGGGCCACTTGCTGACTGGGGCTAGTGGCCCCCAGCCCCTTGCTGACAAAGCGGGGTGAAAGTTTCTTACAGGTGGCACCAAGCCTGGGATGGGACAGGGTTCTTCTCTGCGAGGGGCTGTTTGGACTCCTGTGATGAAAACGCTGCTCTCTGCTTTGCAGATCCGGGCTGTTTTGCCAGGGAAGGCAGTTGGAGGCTTAGGGAGAGCTGCCTTGTGGAGGGCAGTGCCCGTTTCACATGTCACGCAGCACAAAAAGCCACCCTGGAAACTGCAATTCGGCCCCGGCCTCACACATAGCCCGGGTGTTTTCAAAGCTAGACACTGTGCGTGACAGCCACCCAACTGAGCTTCCTGACAGCCCTGGCTAAGAGACAGGGGCTGACTGCACATGTCACAAAATCCCAGAATGGTTGAGGCTGGACGGGACCTCTAGAGATCACCTAGTCCAATCCCTGCTCCATCAGGGACACTCAGAGCACAGGGCACCCGAGTGCATCCAGGCAGGTTTGGAAGATATCCAGAGAAGGAGATGTCCCCAAGATGGACCAAAACGTCCCCAAGCAGGACCTGAGGACAACGGGTTTGCTGGGTGCTCAGTAGCTGCCTGCATACCCACCTGGAGAACTCGGATCACTTCTGCCAGCATTGGCCCCAGACACCTGGTGGTGTAGAAACCAGGCCCGTCCTAGGGCAGAAGAGAGCAACAGGAAGGCAGGTAAGTTCAAACCGCTGGAACGTGGCCTTGAYTGACCACACGAGAAGTTTCCCAGCCTGAGCTGCAGTTCAGGCACACACACTGAACTGCTCTGTTTTTAATGGCATAGAATTGACTCCTAGGACAGCTTTTACCTGCTGGGTTCACCAGAGCTTGGAGATCTTCCTAAGTTTAATCTCTGGAAGGCCCCASAGTGATGTTATTTAACATAGTGCCTGGAGGTCCCAGGCGGGCTGCAGAACCCCTCTGTCTTCAAGCCAAGTCCTGAAGGCTGCCTGGGGTAAAGGGTGCTCAGCGGGAGCAAAATGGGCATTGTTGTTTCACCTGCTGACATTGCCCAGCGAGTCAGGAAAGACAAATCAGCTCAAACTGCCAGGAATCTAAACTGGGAGGGAGGATTAGAGACACACAGTGTCTCCACCAGCCTATAGGGCACTTTCACCCAAGCCAGTGTTACCAGACACATAAACCAGACACAACCCACGGCTTTGGGCTTTGCTGCCTCCTCCTAGGGGCCTCCGCAGCTCCCGACCTGCTCTGCTCAGTCCTCTCCCCCTGCTTCGTGCAGCTCTTCCCTGCCCTGTGCACACGGGTGTCCACCCTCCCTCCCACATGAGATCTCACAGTGGAGAGAGCGGCATTACTGCTCACAGGGTCCTCTTATTTCTGCAACTAGAGAGTCCTGCCCAGGCTCCTCTCAGGAGCCACGTGAGACTTCAGCCTTCAGAGGAACCATGGAGGCATCAACCCTTTCAGCCTCATGACATCTTCACCGCAATGCACAAGACTGACCCTCTAGTAACCCAGCTCCTGTCGGAGCAGCCCTCACCTTTACCACGATGACAATCTTGCCCTGTTTGAGCCCAAGAGCAACAACAGAGGCAGCTGTGTCCTGGGATGTTTTGTCTGTGGTGATGATCTCCAGCAGCTGCATTTTGTCCACGGGGGAGAAGTAGTGCATCCCCACCACCTAGGGAGGAATGCAGGGTTAAGGCAGAGCAAACGGGCTGGGAAAGTCAAGTGCTCAGTTGCAGGAGGCCAGCACAGGCTGTGAGACGTCACCACGCTGCACTATCACTCAGCCACTCTATGAAATATAGATACYTGATCTTCCTAGCACAGCCACGCAAGCAAGATGGGACCTTGGTGCTTCCTGGAAGCTACGCTTGGCCCTAAGATCTACCCAAGTTAGAGAAACCTTGCAGAAAATACTCAAATTGCAAAACTGCTGAAAAAAAAATACAGTAATTAACCGATTTCCTACTAGCTTCCCCATAAACAGGTATAACATGAGCAGCTGGTCCAGCAAGAGGATGCTACTYGCAAGTATGAACAGAAAAGATAGCTTGCATTCAGATGCAACTATGATCTGAACAGCAAGCCATGAAGAGGCCCTTGAAGGCCACATTTACCTCATGGTAAGTAAATTCACRTCATGGTAAGTAAATGTCTAATGATTTTCCTCAGCTTGAGTCCTCTCACAGCTTCCCTTCCTCCTGGGTGCATTAACACTTCCCAAAGCGCTGATCTCCCTGCACTGCTGAGTCCTGCTGCACCCACATCTCCCTTGGGACCAACCCACTTCCATCCCCTTTGCACCTATCCAAGGATGGCAAAATGCTGCTCAAAATTTGCACTGGGGGCAGCGGTTGAGCTGGTGCATGTTCCGAGGAGGAAGATGATGGTCCCAGCCCTCCTCCACAGCACAGCCATTTGGCACTAGCAGGCAGCTCAGCACAGAGCAGGCCCGTGGTGCCAGGCATTCACTCACCTTCTCTGGCCTCTTGCTAACGGCAGCGATTTTGCTGATTGGGAGAGCAGATGTGTTACTGGCAAAGATACAGTGAGCAGGGATCACCTGGGGAGGAGGGGAGAAAGAAACTTTAAGTGTCCAAGGGCACATTTGGACTGTGATGCTCAAGAGAACAGCACTAGCACCCCAGCATTTGGTAATGCTGTAATGAATAGGAGCAGCCTCTGGATCTGATCTGGATCAGCATGAGAAACTCGTCCTGAGGCAGCAGCCCAGGTCACTTAGATCTGGCTTGTGG